TGTCGATTGTCAAACACTAATGTAACCCATCTGAACGTTAAAGAATTTAGTATATCACCAACAAACAACAAAGAATGTGATAAGACTTAGACGTATATTCTCAAATTAACTAATTATACACTTCATTACAAATTTCTGCAAAGGAATTTACAATGACAATACAAGATTAAGAGAAACAACAAACCCAATGGCAGTACAAAATACGAGCTCAGTGGATGCAATAACCAAAGCAGTACCTATAGCAACAAAAACAATAAACACATTTTTTAGAATACCCCGGCTCGAAATGCTTCACAGTATAATAAATCACGTGAAGCATTTTTTGTCGGGGGTCATCTCAAAAAGAAATTCTAATCTTGAATCCCCGCAAGGGCACGATGACCTGTGGGTCAGTCTGGGAATCCAGGTCGAGTAATCACCCTCACACATCTGCTGGTGTTGATAAAAACATCAGATGACAGAGGCAAGAGAGTGTTATACTACTATGTGAGATGGTATGCAAGTATTTATGTATTACTATTAGGTGTAGAGATCGAGTTTGTTGCTGATAGCTAAGGGTGCACGTTGCGAGCAGTAACGCTGCTTCCGGTACTTCCTGTACTTCCGGTGCGGATTTGTGCTTGCGAAGGATTACCTCAGTATCAGCAGGGAATATTGATTAACCGTTAGGCGGACAGACCCGTTGTGCTGAGAGTACGAACCTATGAATATGGGAGCCGTTATGACCGGTGTTTGTGACAAGATTCTTGCATCCCTCAGTGACGAGGATGGTTTGAAGTTTTAGAAAGTGTTGAAGATTCTCCCTAGCTTCTCCCTCAGGGTTTGTTTGTTAGTGACCGCCTCCGTGGTGTATGGTTTGAGAGCGGGAGTCGCGGGTTCGATCCCCGACCGCGTCATACCAAAAGAAAAATATGGTGTTGGTTCCTGCCTGGTGCTCGGCAAAATGTACAACAATTCGGCTTTCAGTATAATGTCCTGAGTGGGTATTCATGCTTCACTGATGTATCTCAGTTGTTAAAAAAACTTTGTCTGGGCTAGTACAAGCAGCCGCACATACACATATACAGCATTTGTCGTCATATGTTCTCAAGCACGACGTTAAACCCAATTTCACCTCACCTTGTTTGTTGGTTTGCTTGTTTGTCTATTTCCTTATATTTTCTCTACCATGGTTGTCCGTGTCATCCCGATATCGATGGATGCCTACAAAAGGATGAGTGAGTGAGTTCAGAATTTAAATCACCTCGGCAGTATTTCAGCCGACTGAAACAAGTTATACATTCATGACACGTACATTTACAACATTAAACCTGTGAACGAAGGACAGTACAGACAACTGAATTATCACGAAAGTAGATGAGAAAATAGCAGTCTACGGACATGTTTAGTTAGTATGTCAATTATGCAGTAAAATGACCCAAATGACTTTCCGTTACTGGATCAATCTACCAACACAATGAGGAAGGTTGAGAAATAAATAAAGATGGAAGGCATATTTGGTTACTGCAGAAAGATATGTTTTTCACAAGCCACGAAGACCTTCATCTGCATTTAAAGAATGTTAAGCAGCTTGGAAATGTAACTTATAACATAGTTCTCAAATGCTTTGAAACCAACATCCTCATGAATCAGCTGATACGTGGGGGTTGTATAGGCGTAATCCATACTTCTCTTTATAAGAACTTTCTTGGTGTAACAGTTAACACTCCAAAGGTAACAGTCAACGGTGAATGTGGATGGTGTCAATTGTACATATAAAATGACAATTAAAATGTTTCCATACGCCATTTACAAAATCGCAAAGAAGTGTAACAGCATGTGTTTGGTCTACGGTCGTTAGGGCCATTAAACCTGGTTTAATTCAGACCCCTCCATTAAAGGTGGTCTAACTCAAACCCCTCCGTTAAATCCGGTCCAGCTCACCCCACCCCACCCCCACCCTTCCATTAAATCCGGTCTAATTCAAACCCCTCCATTAAATCCGGTCCAACTCAAACCCCTCCATTAAATGTGGTCTACCTCAAACCCCTCCATTGAATCCCGTCTAACTCAAACCTGTCCATTAAATCCGGGTCTAACTCAATCCCATCCATTAAATGTGGTCCAGCTCAAACCCCTCCATTAAATCTGGTCTAGCTCAAACCCCTCCATTAAATCCGTGAAGTACAAGTGCACACCGGAATCGCCCGACGCAAGCGAACCTGAGTAACTACAGCTTTGTTACAGGTGCTTAGAAAACATCGACAAAGGGAGATGACTGATGTGTTTATTTCCTCGCAGCGGTGAACCCGAATTACGTCAGGCGAACGTGTGTCTTTCACAGTACATGTATCTGTATGGAATCATGTCAGGGGGCACTGTCGCATAGTCGTCCAAACAAAATCAATCAAAATGACGGAAGCACGACAATACGACCATTTGACCAGCTTTCCCACACTGTTTTGAGTAATGTTTTAAATTTCTTTACATACCAATTGTGATAATTTCCCCTTCTTTTACTAGATTAAAAACTTGTTTGGTATGAAAAAAAATATTACTTTGCTTCGAGAATGCAAGAACATTCACCGTTATGTTTCAGTTGTAGCTCGTCGCAAGGACTGTCGTAATTATTTTACAACTTTAAGTGCTCATTAGTTTTCACACTGTATAATTGATATTATACAGATAATGTTAAGAAACATTAGTGATTGTATAGGCCAGGGTTGGTTGGATGTGTTGGGCTTTACGCCACATTGGCATTATTTCAGCCATATAGTGACGAGATCAAGTCTGCATTCATAAACATTTTAAGTACAAAGTCCAAATGAGTTTTATTTAAATTCATATATATTCATTACATTGCTATTTAAATACAGAAAATATCATAGCACTAAATTCAAAAGCAAGCAATTCGTTATTCACATTACATAGTTATAATTTATGATACAGATCAACTTCCCTCCAGTAGTTCACAATGAGAAGCCCGCTCATGAAATAAAACATAACTTTCAGATTTGTCTCGTCATAATGTGAATCCCTTGCAGTCGAAAGGTCCACACAGTCAAGCAGAATATGCTTGATGATGAACACATCATCGCAAGAGACACACATGGGAGGTACATCCCCATCTGTTTTCAGCAGACAGTCATAAATACACCGACTGCATAGCCAATACGACATCGTCGTAAATTACCTCATCACGTCTTGACTGACAACCCAAGAAGGTATAATCAATTGTTGACTTCAGTTTATGAGGTTTCTTCCTACTTGAGTGTCCCAACTTTTTGTTTGTGTTTTTGTTTAAGGTCCGGAGTATAACTTTTGATAGTGGGTTTGAAATCACTGTAGGGATCAGCAGTGGACATAAGGGCTTGTCAAGAGCTGCTTTAGCTGCAGCATCGGCCTTTGTGTTACCTGTTATGCCAACTTGACCCGACAACCAGCAGAGGACATTGTCACATTGGCCAGTAGAAAGATCGTCGTAAAGTTCTAAAATGTCTAGGATGATAGGGTGGCTTGAAGTAACATTTTGAAGTGATTGAAGGCAAGATAATGAATCTGTAAAAACGATGAAGTTTTTGGAATGGTTCTGTTGTTTGATATAGGTCAGAGCTGTGAAGATAACTTTGGCCTCAGCAGGGAAATTGGAACTATTGTCGGGAATTCTAGAGGAGACACTGGCAAACTGACCCTCATCCTTGGATCCGTCAGTGAAAATTGATCTGTGGGTGTTAAACTTTGAACGTAACTGGTTGTATTCCTGCACACCAAAGGATTTGTTTCAGACTTTTTGATTTTTGGTGAGGGTATGATCGACCTACCTAAGATAGAAGTCGGTAAGGTACTATGATATTGAGATCAATTTTAGCTTCAAATATTTGTGGTTGAATTCCAAGTGGTGGCACCAGGCTTGGCATATTAGGAAACACGTTTTCATAGATGGTGATATTGTATGCTGGACTCATTTGAACGTAATTTAGGGATATTCTGCAGTGAAAGTTTAATGCGGCGTGGTTGAACGGAAGTTTCGTTAGCCTCCGCATATAGATTTTCTGCCGGTGAGGACCTAAACGCTCCCAGACAGAGCCTGAGGCCTTGGTGGTGGACAGAATCTAATTTATCTAAATTGCTTTTGCAGGTTCCACCATAGACAATGGAGTAATAATCTAGTTTAGAGCGAACCAATGGTCTGTACAGGTGAAGGAGGGTAGTCTGATCCCCTCCCCAGTCAAGGGCTTTCAAGCAGTTTGTTTTCAGATATTTTATGTGTGGTAAGAATGCCAAGTGACGGCCGAATATGAGTTCCAGGAATTTGGTCTCTTCTACTACATTGATGGGAGTACCAACTAAAGATAGGTCTGGATGCTTGTGTGGATACGACAAAAGTGAATACAATTTGTTTTGGATTTTGAAAACTTAAAGCCATTTTCATTGGCCCATTTTTGGATATTGTTGAGGCAAAGTTGTAGCTGCCTTTCTATTGCGTGCATATTCTTATCACGAAAAGGGACCCATCAACACAACTGTTCAAGACGTTAGTGAGGCTGTAAATTATTATGCTAAAAGTGTGACAGACAGGATGATGCCTTTAGAGACGCCCTCCTCTTGGTGGAAATCATCAGACAATGTGGAACCCACCCGAACGTGAAATTGTCTGTTGTTTAAAAATTGAGATATGAACTGGGGTAATCTGCCCCTCAATCCAAATTCATGCAAATTTCTTAAGATACCATTTTTCCATGTTGTATCATATGCTTTTTTCTAAGTCGAAAGAGACAGATACAGTATGTTGTTTTGGCCAGGGAAGGACAGCACAAGATACGAGTGTGACACAAACCATGCAGTTCCAGATTATGTCCTGTAGGTGTTTGTCATGATGAGAGTTTCTCAATGCTGCTTAAAACATCTTGAAAATGTTGCATTATATCTAAAACAAAGAAACAGGGCCTTGGAAAGCGACAATGAGATAATGTCCCTTTTAGGATTCCATACAGTTTAGATGTTGCGAAACACAGCCAGTTGTTTGAATGGGGCGAACGAACAGATCCTTTGTCACATATTCCTGAGGATACTTCAAAGGTTAAGACTGAACTTCAGGCATTCCTAAAAGGTATGTGTTCATACATATACACGCGCACACACGCGCGCGCGCACACTCTCACAAACCTTCTTACCGCACTGGCAATCAGACAGAGGGAGAGAGTCAAGCACAAACGCACAACGTAATGAAAATTGAGTCCCCAGCACCCATGCTTGTCGCGAGGGGCGAAACTAGGGATCGGGTGGTCAGGTTTGCTGTCTTTTTCATGCATGTCATCGTATCCCAGCAGCGTCCAATGGTCGATGTTCATTATATCAATCACTGGAGTGTCTAGTTCATGGTTAAGCATATTCAGACAGCCGCTACATTGCTTGAGTTGTGTTTGGTGCGAAGTTAAACACCAAGAAAACAGAGATGAGTCGGACGGAGGGAGAGGCACCATTATTCCAATGTATTTAAATAATATTGCATTTCTGTAACCCTGAATATGTGAGATATTGTCGAGTCAGATGAATGAACTCATTGCAACATTAATACTTCCACACAGTAATTTTCATATATCGCGATAATACTCCGATCTATTGCTTCGCCATCTTGGGTACCGACCCGACCACCCCACCCCCAAGCCATAAATTATGAACGGCCCTTATCAACGTGATTTACCTGGTGTCTCGAGACTGCTGAGTGTGGGATCACAGTGTATGGAAACCTGTCACGGTCATCACATTCCCCAAGCTTAACAAGTGTTCATATACACTTATGAACGAATTCGTGGTTTTAAACTTTGTAGTTTATGACTCCTGCAAGACTAAAACGTACGTCAGGTGTGTGGAAGATTATTACGTCAAACGAGTGCACCTAGCGTTATGTGTGTGTTGTTTTACGCCGCACTTAGCTGTGTTGGCAGTCGAAATGCCTTGTTCCTTGTGTGTCCACAGTGCTTTGGAGATATTCTTCCATTATGAGCGATGGATCTCCACATCATGTCACATTTATTACACAATGCCATTTATTACCCACGTAGTCAACGTATGGGTAGTTGCATACTGATCTCGTACGTCACACGAGTGTCGTATCGCGTTGACCTGTGTCGTAACGACTTGACCTGAGATTCTAACGATTTGATTGGATAACCGATGACCTCTCAATTAGGTCACGTTGTGACGGAACTACTTTTTCATTCATAACAAACACGTGAATTCATTCATTCTACAAGATATATGCCTTGTGGGAATGTAAACATAGCGAACGTTGCCGTATCGCTGTTTAATTGTGAGTCGAACTGAGACATTAGATCCGTCGAAAAACATAAACGCAATGATTCCACCAGTGATGTTTCCTCCAGTGATGTTAGCAAACAAAGAAACGGGGTGCTAAGGAGTAGTTTATTGTAGGAGGCTGTACGAGGCGATGACAACTGACATGCATGGTGACGTCGGTTACCAAGGGGGGCAGACGAGCAAGGCGTAGTGACGTCATTACAGTGTGATGTCATGCAAAAGGTCTTTATGAAACCGGTTTCGGTTTGAAAGCATAAAAATAACAAAAATACGCTATTTTGTCAAGTTAACGCATGTAAAACGTGGGTAATAAATAAAATATCAAACTCGGTCTCATAACATACGAATTATACAAAACTCGTGACCTTCCTATGGTTTCTGACCTCGCTTTCGCTCGGTCAGATACCATAGGAAGGACCCTCGTTTCGTATAATTCGTATGTAACGAGACCTCATGTACTATTCTCTATTTACAAAGTGGTCAAATGCAACATATGTTTATATATTTGGGATTACACTTTCTTAGTAAACTATAGATTCTAGGACTTTTGCCGGGTTCCACAAAACGGAAGTCGGGACAACTGGTAGTCTATACTGCAGGGCCGTGCCAATTTACATTTATCAGAGGGGTACACAAAATCCGCCGTTCAGACTACCAGTTGTTCGACTTCCATTTGGTGGAAGTCGCGGTGGCTGAGTGGGTTCGGCGGCTGACTTTGTGTGAATGACTCTGAGGGTGTGGGTTCGAATCCCGGAAGGGACTCAACCCAACAAAAGTACTAGAATCTGCACTTAACTAAGAAAGTGTAAAAATAACATCACGACACATTTCCCACTTCATATGTCACATGAATGCATGCATCCATACATATGCATGCATACATACACAAAAGCACGCATGCATACATATATACACACACATAAACATACATAAAGTATTCCCAGAAATTATTGAGAAAGCTGTTTCGGCAAATATCTAACACATGTATATAAACTATAGAATTTTTATTTGAATGAATCTGTTAAGATATGATTCTCTTACAGTCTAAGTCTCTTTTCAGTACTTTATGAGACCTCCTTGCTCTGCAATACACGACTGAATGCGCCTAGGTACACTACCGATCAAAGTTTGAAATCGTGTGACAGCGTATCCCAATAGTCGAGCACTTCCTTCTTCATATCCCCATTATTTTTAAGTCCTTTTTGGTATAGTCTGTCCTTCATTAGTCCCCGCACATTCTCAATAGGGTTAAGATCTGGGCTGTAGCTGGGGCCAGTCTAAAACTTGAACATTTTCGTCCGATAACCACTGTCTTGTGTTGCCCGCTGTGTTTTGGGTCGTTATCATGCTGGAAAATCAAATTATCTTCATACAGTGTTCAGGCCGTTGGAAGGAGGTGATAATTTAAGATGTCAACATATCGTTCTTTTGTCCATTTTCCAGTGAAACATACACAACGGCGTCACTCCACGTGATGATATCCCCCTCCACATGTGAAATTTCGGGCTATATTCTGGGCGTTGGTAGATAGGTTTCACGGTATCTTTTGTCCAAATGTTCACACAGTTCGGAATCTTGATTTTCGTGAGCCCTACATCTGTTCAAACGTCTTTCCTTGTGTGCATCTGTCAACAATGGTGAGGGAATTCCGCTCGCTTGTTCGCCCAGTTGTCTTTGTAATCCTTGTCTATGGGTTTCTTTACATACCTGAGGACTTCCTCTCTTAATCATCTCATTTCTGATATTCTCAACGCTTTTCAATTTTCTCCTACTCACAATCTGTCAAGTCGCCGGCGATCCGTAGTGCAGTAGTTCCTTGGTCTCCCTGCCCCTGAACGTCTTGTGCTCAATCCTGGCTGAATAGTCTGTATACTGTAGACAGAGGAATGTCATGCCTCGGCGATCCGCAGTACTGAACTTCCTTGGCCTCCCTACCCCTCCTGCTTCTTGGCTAAATATTCTGTATACGGTAGACGGAGGAATGTCATGTCTACCAGTTAACCAGACATGGGTTCAATTACTTTGAAAAGTAATTAATTAAGTTACAATTACTTTGATTTTCCTCAATTACAAATACAATTACACCTTAAATTAAAATGTAATTAATTAAATTACAATTACATTACCAATGTAATTAATTACATTACAAATTACTTTGTTAAAAACAAACAAAAACAAAACAAATATATTTCTGTATTCCTTTAATCAACAAGATATCGATGTTTGTAAACAGTGGTCACTAAATCCAATTCATATTTTTGTCATCAAAAAGTGAAATGCAAAATTAGATTATATCTACAATGTACACTATTTGATCAAATTTGTATTTTGCATATTTCTTTGGGCTTATTATCAAATACACACCTCTATCATCTATTGTTGCAAATAAACACTTTGTCCACCACTGTTACCTAAGGTGTACTGTATCATGACACCATTACAGGCCTACATTACAATATATAATCAGCCGGTCTCTCTATCTGGCATAATCCACATTAACATACTAAAGGATTTGTCAACTTGGATTTATGGCTTATTACCTTTCATGATTATAAAAATAGGACTACAGTTCAGTAAGATTTTGAATATCATATCCTATGAGAAATAAACAAAGAGGCCATTTTGATAGGAACTTGACTAATAGTACTGTTAATCCCCCATTTCCTCAAATACCAACCTACATTCAGTCATGCGTTACTGATTCCCAGATGTGCAGATGGTAATAGTTACAAAGGCTTAGACATTCAAATCTCTTTCAAATCTTAACACCTGCTAGAGTATATACCTACAACAAGCATCTTATTGAAAAACACTGCTTTGTCCTCCTTATTGTACAGAATATAATTGCATGGGGTTGCCTGATGACCTCCAAAATAAAAAAGTGAGATGTAATTTGATGTAATTGAAAAAGTAATTGAAAAATTCAATTACATTGAGATATTAATTAATTAAATTACAATTACAAATTACATTTTAAACATTCAAGTACAAATTACATGCAATTACATAGATTTTTGTAATAAATTATATTCAATTACAATTACAAATTACAATTACCCCATGTCTGCAGTTAACTCTTTTGCATTAGTCACACCCCTTTCAAAATCATCTAAAACCAGCTTTCTTTTCTCTTCTGCTGTCAAATCTGCCATGTCAACAAAGGAAGCCGTCTGCTACACCAAGGGGGATAACTCTTCACGTAACACCTATTTTGAAATTCTATTATTAGTAATAGGAAACAAAAATGTTCTCAATAATTCCTGGATAAACTGTACATGCATGCACTCACGCATCCGTTGATACACACGCATACGCACACTCATACCATTGTTCAAATGTTCACCATTGAATCAATATTTCCATTATTTACAGATGTCTTTTTCCGGCTTGGGTGACGTCATTGACCCAAATGTGACCGAATCCTACCTTGAAGCACGCCCATATGGGTCTACAGGAGGACAGATATTCTTCTCCTTCATCTACATGCTATGGATCCTCCTCGCAAATATCTTCATCCTCTTCCTCATCGTCAAGGACAAGGCTCTTCGCCATCAGCCCCACAACATCTACGTGGGCATTCTCTGCCTCGCTGACATCACAGTCGGACTGTATTATCTCCCCTTGAATATGGACTTCATGTCTAGAGGGCGCTGGGGACATGGCTGTTTATCGCTAGGTGTCTTTGCGTACTACCCAATATATCAAACTTGTTTTTGTGCGTTCATTGTGTTTCTGCTCCTCTTTGCCCGCCTGATGAGTTTATGCAGCTGTTGGAGACAAAATCCCATGTCGCTGAAGAAACGGTTCATTTTCCACGGACTTTCTTTACTGATCACGTTGGTTTATACGCTCATGTTGCCTGTCCTGTTGTCTGTAGGGGCAGATGCCTTTAGAAACAGAGGCGGGAACATACCAGACTTTTTAGGAAACGGTCCAGTAGTTTCCCGTGTGGAAGTTGAGTGCCCTGTATTGAACGGATTTGATCATTTTACTCGTGTATTAGTAATACTGTCAGGATTCTGGGCGCCCATGTTTTTCTCCATCGTGTTTCTCGCTATATTCCTGATCATGATCACAAGGGCTGCAGCCCCCGAGCAGTCAAACCAGGACTCGTCCAAGGTTCCCGTGAAGGTTCTCATCGTGGCCTTCTTAGTATCCTTCATCATACCCAGTGGGTACCTCACATACATGTCGTGTGTCTCCCTGCACCGTGTGTGTTTCTACCAATACAGGGTCCCGACTTCACCTGTGACGGGGCAATAGCAGGTCTGTCGGTCTTCCTTCAGTGGGTGTTGATCTCCAAATGCGGAGTTCTCCCCCTTGTGTGGTTCCTTGGCGAAGATTACCGAAGTGCAGCGAGACCAATCGTTGGGAGGTTAGGTCCTGTTCTGAAGTTCTGTAGGAGGTGGAGGTATGGCGGGCGAGAAAGGATGACTACAGACCCGGGCAGCGAGGACGATGTTGACTAATATCGTGGAGGACATTGACCAAATTCTTTCCTGACAAACATTAATAACTAATCAAATAAATAATTCATCGAAGAAGTTCATTCGTTATTGATCTGGTATTTCAGATTGGGAGTGTCGTTGATTTTGCAAACGTCCGGGCAAGAAACCTACATGCTTATGTTAGTTAAGGGGTGACAACTGAACAATGAAGAAAATGTTTGATAATGTTTCAGATATTTATGTATTTAATACGGATACGAGGCGTGTTTCTAATCGCTTCAGCGACAATTTTTTAGTCAACTAACATTTGGATAACGTTTTCACTTTTTATTGTTGTATTTTTCATGTAATGCTGTGTTTTTGCCAGTTTTGCTTATCAACATCTATCATCATTTCTAAGCTTCTTCGTAGCTCCAGGCGGTGGGTAGCCTAGTGGTTAAGCATTCGCTCGCCACGCGGGTTCGATTCCCCACATGGGTACAATGTGTGAAGCCCATTTCTGGTGTCCCCGGCCCTGATATTGCTGGAATATTGCTGAAAGCGACGTTAAACCATACTCACTCACTCACTCTCTCTTTGTAGCTCCAGGTGGCACCCTGACAAGTCTGAGATGTAACAATATCTAAAAGTGTCAGTGTGTAATGTGTGGATTCTGGGCTGATAGTTCACTGTTGTCAACGCCGGCCTGGTGTAAGGACACAATGATTTAAACCAGGTGGATGTACTGTTAAATGCACCTTCAAGACTGTGTGATGGAGTCACGTGTGGTTAATTATCAGATAATAAGACTGCTACTATCCATATGAAATGCTATCATTTTCCACTGATGAATCAATTTCTATCATAACGAGTTGAGGTGAGGTGAAATGGGGTTTCTCGTCGTTAATAAGAATTGTCCGCTCATGACGACCTGCATGCCGAGACTTTAGCTGGTTTTATGGTGCTAGGTCACTGATATACAATGCAGCAGTTAAGCAGGAATACCGCACTCAGGCACATTATACTGACTCCGAGCCGACCAGTCCTTGTTGTACCCACTAATGCCAAGCGCTAAGCAGGGGCCAACAAATACCATATTTTAACGTCTTTTAGTACGACGCTGTCGGGGACCGAACCCGCGATCTTCCGCTTTCCGGGCTGACGATTTAACCACTAAACCACAGAGGCTGTCTATTATAACGAATGGAGATGGTGGATGTAAGCATCTATATTTTGAGGCTCACAACGTTGACAGCTATATGCTCCCCCCTAGGTGAGGCAGCTTATTTTCGAAAACGTTGTGCTCCTCATAAGGAAGTTGGCATCCTAGCTTTACGTCATTACGAGCATCACTTTCTGGTGTCTTTCAAAGAGTATTCCTTGTATACATGGTTCTGTCAATTAGTCTCATCAAGGTGATGTTTTGTAATATTGACAATATACACGCTTACATCTAGCGATTGTAAATGACAGTTGAATTAAAATGTCCTAAAACATGTATCTATCCATTTTCTTTTGTACAAAAGTTAAAGTTCAGCCACCTTCGGCAGTGGCTAGAAAAACAGTTGGTGGTCAAGGTATGAAGCAGCCAAACAGTGGAGCAGACAGGTGGAGAGGTAGCCAAGAGGGGTGGTAGCCAAGTGCGATGGTAGCCAAGCGGTACTAGCATTGTGTAGGGGTACACGGGTGGTTGGGTAGACATTCAATGGGGTAGCCAAACAGTACAGTCGACAGGTAGAGTGGTGAAAGTGACATGTATTTTGGCTGTTCTGGTGAGCAGACTGCTAACCCCACGCCTACTCTTGACTTTGTCAATACAGTACATTACAGTATTTATATATTCACTCTTTGCTGTAACGTCGTACAAAGATTAAAAAGAAGTTGTTATCCATAAAACGTGTGTTATGTATTCATGTTCATCCAAATTCCTAAATGCCTTTAAAACTAGATAAACTTCCTTATATATGCATAAAATCACATCGATGAAAGCACGAAATAAATATGGTAAGAACATGGAAATCATTTGTTAAATAGTAAAAGAGATCTTCTCCGTAAAACAAGTTTGCACGTTTTGGAACTTATAAATACAATATCTGAGCATGACATAATAAAACACACTGGACATCAGTAAAAGTACTAAAGTTTTCATTGGCATTATTACAATGGTTAAATAAAACTGAACGATAATCACAGTATACAGGGCAGTGAATTAAAACATGTGACATGTGACTCATCATGTGACTCATCCTTGACGCAGTCAGGGCAGTTGAAACACTTCCTCTCTTCTACCGGTGTGTTGGTGTATCGACAAGTCTCAATAAGCAGTGAAATCTACCCAGTGCTCTCCGGGGACTCCTAGGTACATTCTCAGTTATGTATTTCTCTGGTTTAAAAGTCCATAAAGTCTAAGTTTATTGCCGCATTTGCTGTGTTGCCATGATAAGGCACTCTACCAGTCAATGATGTCCTTGTCCATCACTTTGGTTCGGATCTCGCTGGATATAATACTGACATGGAAGGTATTCTCAATATGGATAAAATGTTTGAGGTTAAGAGTGTTCAACTTCTTATGGGCTCTCCTCTTCCAATTGTTCTTTTTCTTGCCGCTTTCGTATTTGCCCACTTGAAAACCTTGCATACAAATCTGTCCGGGTTAATACTACACAGGCGTAGTATTAACCCGGTGTCTCGCTGTCGCACGCAACGCCGAGTCCAGCCCATGTTCCCGGCTACAGCTGAGTTTGGAGAATATTTATATAATCCAATAAAAAGCGCATAGCTCTATTCTGAAGCGTGTTGACAGCCGGAAGTGCATACGGTCCCCAGATTGTTGCTCCATGTGAAATAGTTGGCCAGACAATGCAGTCATATAATTTAGTAAAAGTTTCACAGCCCATTCCTCCGAGGATCTTGAACTTGGAGATGAGCAGTACTATAGCCCGACTAGCAGAGTTAGCAGCAGTTTTCCCCATTCTAGTGTAGCCGAGCGAAGTCCAAGATAAGTGTACGAGTCTACGATAGCGAGCTCCATGTCTCCACACTTGAAAGTACTTTGAAAGTACTTCTTGTCTTATCTGCACCTGTCTTCCAAAATGCATTATTTTGGATTCGGTTGGGTTTATGACCAAGACACCAACAGTTCAGAGCCTCCAATAAAATCTTCAAGTCTTCTCCCATGTCAGCCTGAAGGACAACGACGTCGGCATATGCGAGGATGCTGATCTTCATATCGTCTACTTGGACGCCGATGTTGAGGGCATTTACTTGCTGAATCAGGTCGTTTAAGAATAAGCTGAAAAGAAGGGGTGATAAAAGAAATCCTTGTCTCAAACCGCAGTTAACGTCAAACCATTCTGTGAGTCCGTGAAGTCGAACACAGCACCGCACAGACATACAGAGTCATCAAAGCACTGAACATGTTGCCACTAACGCCAATATCTTCAAGCTTGTTCCACATAATCCCTCCGTCGATACAATCATAGGCCTTTTTAAAATCGAAAAAAAGTAGTAAAGGGTCCCCTTTCCCTTACTCTTCCTGGTCTCAATAATAGAAGTAAGGGTGTAAATATGTTCTTTTGTTGATCTTTTCTTTCGGAAGCCATTCGCTAAGAGATTAAGTTCAGCATAATAACTAAGTCTGGAGTTCAGTGCATTACAATACAGCTTGTAAGTGGAACTTGTAATGTTATTCCTCTGTAAGACAGGGGTCCCTTGGGTCAGTAGAGGATTTCGTTATCGGGTTGATTATCCCTTTACTCCATTCGGCTGGTACCTTCCGCAAGGCAAAACAACCATTAAAAAGACGATGTAAAAAGTAAAGGCAGAAATGGTTCTTTAAAACTTCGACTGGTACTTCATCACATCCAGTTGATTTCCCTCTTTTGGCTTGTACCAATTCATGGTGCACCTCATCCAGTGTGATTTCCGCATTCAAGGAGCTCAGATCTGTTACGTCATCCTGAGGTCTGACGTCATCAATAAGGCGGAACTCTGTTTCATCCATGTTACAGTTCAATAGAGTTGAGTAAGCATCCTTCCATGCTCTTAGTGAGTGAGTGAGTGAGTGAGTTTAGTTTTACGCCGTTTTAGCAATATTCCAGCAATATCACGGCGGGGGACACCAGAAATGGGCTTCACACATTGTGCCCATGTGGGTAATCGAACCCGGGTCTTCGGCGTGACGAGCGAACGCTTTAACCACAAGGCTACCCCACCACCCCTCCATGCACTAAGGACTGTGGCCGTGTAAGAGGAGACTGTGCCGTCATCTAGTGTAACCTCCATTGGAATCTTCTTCTTTCTCTCAGTAGCAATACCTATATCACCGATCTCCTTCCAGAAGTGGGCACAAACCCTTATCACACAACTCCTCCAGTCTGCTTAACGTGTCTCGTACATGCTGACGCTTCGCTTTCTTAACTTGACGTGATAAAGATGACAGACAATGAAATAAAGACAGTTCGATAAGAGGTGTACACAAACAGTTGACACAGATAAGAAATGAACATGCCGACTTACGCAAGCATGTTGATAGCAAGGTACGCAGACACTGAAACTTCCCTTGCAGTTCACCTACATATCGTGCTGCGGAACGTACTTGAATCTGCCCATGAAAATCAACATGCGTGCGTATGTCATGGTTAAACAAATTGGACATTTCAGAACTGAAACGCAGAATTGAAAACTGAAAAATGAAGCAGGGAGGGTTCGGGTGATCCTGGCACAGTCAGGCTGGTAAGGATCATTATCAGCTCAGGGCCCTTGCCCCCTCTACACGCAGCCCAAACAGCGAATGGGACTTCTTCCAGCAAACGCTGCTTAGTCGAACCACCAAGAACTTTCCGGGGAATATGTGGACTCCCCAACACTGCAGCCTTCTGCATTACCCAGAGTGTCAGAAGGGCTGTGCTCCCAGTGGAGAACGCGGGCACTCTCCTGATCTGCGCCAAGAGGTCAGGAGGTACCAAACCAAGGGCACCAAGAACAATGGGGAGTCTGACGACAGTGTACTTGGGATGCAAGCAAGACATTTAAAAAACGAGGTCCGCATATTTTGCATGCTTTTCCTGAACCTTGCCAATCACGTTGCTGTCAAAAGGGACAGGAAAATTCAATGACATAAATAAATTCATTGGCTTTAAATATAAAAAAGATCAGCTTTGTTGGCTGGAATTCTTCTGAGGATGTATATGGGCCTATTCCAAAGAAGTTTGAAAACATCATTTTCCATGACGCCCTGGACATGTCGTACCATGGATGGACCTCACAGTCAAAACCACAGGCATGGCGAAGACGGTAATAAAAGCAGCGAGCCATGCCATCATGTCTCTTAAGATATGCTGTTTGTGCCAAGGAAGGGCATCCACTGACAAGGTGTTGGACAGTCTCTGTAAATTCATTACACAGTCGGCATTTCATGTTAATATTTTCTTTAAGAATCACATTTAGGCGATTGCGAGTGGGAAGTGACTGGTCCTGAGCAGCAAAAAGGAAGCCTTCAGTTTCACATTTGAGACCAGCCGACTTCATCCAGGCGAAGGAGTCGGTGGGATTGCTATTCTGTTCCACACACTGCATATATACACGATGCACTGGTTTCTCAGAAAGCTTCGCCACAAATGGGCAGACTTGGTGAATGACTTCACCTGGTTTACTCCCATCCCGTCCAGCAGTACATTGCCATCAACAAAATTAAACTCAAATTTCAAATTCTATCCAACAACCTTGACACGCTTAAGATAGCTGTGGAATTCCTTGCTTTCATCATGAGTCTTGACGTGCGTCACCAGAGGATCATCCGACAAATAAAAATGTGCAAAAGTACACAATAAAATTCTATCTTTGACAGTCATCTTGCATCACACATTTGCTAGTGTTTGTTTCCAGCCAATCATCTTTCAAGAGCCATGCATTACTGTACTAACAACCATGGTCATAAGTGGTGATATATCTCCCAATATGTTCAATCGTAATTAACTATGAAGTTCCCCTACTTTTTAAAGAGTTATAACTAACTTGTTCACCTCGATGCGATGTATAATTTTAATTCTTACACTCACTACATTCATACATCCCTTCTACTT